GTGCACACAACTTAGTGGACCTTTCCCCCAGCAGTGTCTGTGATTAGGGGGAGAGGAGAGGTGATGTCGTGTCTGCAACCTCTTTCTGCACGGGTCTCAGTAGTAAGTGTTTTAGCTAATGTAGGTTATACAGCACCTGTCACTACTCCTCAGCTTTGTTGCTGTAGCATGAAAGCAGCCACAGGCATTGAGGGCTGTGGATTTTTACCCCTGACCTAGGAGTAAGGAGAGTTATATAGAAATGGGAGAGAAGACTGGATATGTGGACAGAGACATGATGATGGTAGCTTGAGGAAGTTGTTTGAGTGAGTGTTTACCTAAGAGTATGGGACCCAGGGTCATCAGCTAAGAATAAGGAAGAGCGGGACTTTGTATTGAAGGTTTGAGAAGAGAGGGTAGTATATAGCATAGGCATCCATCAAAGAGTGAAAAAGTAAATAGAATAGGGAAATACAGGGTGATTGCCAGGCAGCACTAAAAGCTCCCTGGAGACAGATGATTCTGAACTTGATGTTCCTGACTTCAATAGGAATGCTTCTAAAGTTTCATTGTTAGATATGGTATCTTACTAATGGTTAAGATAATTTAAGGCTTTAGTTAAGAATAAAAAGCATTAGTATTCCAAGTGATCTATTTCTATTTTAAAATTTTGTTTTCTTATTTGAAAGGCAGACAGGTCTTCCCTCTGTTGGATCACTCCCCAGATACTCTACATAGCTGGGGCTGGGTCGTTTCAAAGCTAGGAGCCCAGATCTCAGTTTGGTTTTCCTACATGGCTGACAGGGATCTAAGTATTTGAGTCATTACTTGCCAACTCTGAGGGTGTGCACTAGTAGGAAGCTGAAATTGGAAGTGGAACTGGGACTCATGCGAGAGTTCTAAGTGACATTTTAACTGCTGTGCCAAATGCGCACCTTGTTTAAAGACTTATTTACTTGAAAGTCAGTGTTAGGGAGGGAGGGAGAGAGAGAATATTTTCCATCCTCTGGTTCACTCCCCAAATGGCTGCAAAGGTCAGAGCTGGGCTTGGTCTGAAGCCAGGAGCCAGTAGCTTCTTCTGAGTCTCCTTTGTGGCTGCGGGGACCTAAGGACTTGAACAATCTTCCACTGCTTTCCCAGGCACATTAGCAGGGAGCTGGATCAGAAGTGGATTAGCCGGGACTTGAACTGGCACCCATGTGGGATGCTGGTGCTGCAGGTTACACACTGTACCACAGCACCAGCCCCTGTTTGTTTTTAATATGAGAATAAATGTGTTGAATTCATGAAGTGCTTTTTTCTGTATTGGTAGAGATGATCATACTTCCTTTCTCCATTAAACTGCACATAGAATTTATTGCATTAACAGATGATCTCCTATTTAGCCATGTTTGTCTTCCTGAGTTGAATCTCACTGAGGTGTGATCCAGTTGTGTATTAGCCCCAAGGACTGAGCTTGATTTGCCAGTGTCTTCAAGATGTTTAAAAACTATACTTACCAATGAGCTTTAAGTTTTTGTTTTAGTTTCAAAGTTATGCTGACTTCATGCGATCAGTTGTGAAGCTTTCCCTTTTTATGGTCTCTGAAGTAGTCTTCTTATATAGGGTTTATATGGTCTGTGTAGGAATCTATATATAATGTGAAAGATAAAAATAAAATTTCCAAAAGAAAACATAGAACAGTATCTACATGAGTTGTCACAGGCAAAGATATTTTTAAACAGGATACAAACAAGCACTAACCAGAACGAGAAGATTGATAAATTGTACTTCATTAAATAAGAAGAACGTCTATTCATCAAGGAATAGTGTTAGGAGACCAGAAAAGCAAGTAACACATTGGAAAAGGTGTTTGTAATACTTACTGTCTGAAAGAAGACTTGTATCCAGGGTATATATTAAAAAAAAAAAAGCAAAATCAGTACCAATATACAGGCAACCCAATTATAAAACAAATGAGCTAAAGACTGGAACAAGCATTTACAAAATGAATTGTCCAGATGGCCAGGGTGAAAAAGCACACATCATTTTCAAAGAACTGCAGAGTAAAAGTACAGTGTGATACCATTACATGCCCATCAGAATGGTGCCGATGCAGAGGTCTGATAAGAACGCAGAGCTCGTGTATATTTTGAGTGGGCTTGAGAAACTCTTTGGTGGTATCTGCTCCAGCTCTGTGTGTGTGCACTGGGATCCACCATTTCCCTTGGGTGTAGACCCAGGAGAAGGCTCGGTGTGTGTGCAACAAAAGACATTTATGTTAGAAGAAAACAGAATTGATCTTACAACCCTGGAATAGGCAGAGGAATTTTAGACATGACACCACAAGCAGGAGCAACAAAACAAAAAGCAGAGAAATTAGACTTCAACAACATTCAAAGCTGTGCTTCAAAGGATACTGTAGAGAAAGTGAAAAAGCAACTTTCAGAATGGGAGAAAATACATGTAAGTCAGATATCTGATAAGAGACTTGTATTTAAAACATAACAAAAAGCCCTTAGAACTCAGTAATAGAAAGGCAACTCATTTTAAAAATGAGCAGAGGCTCTGAATAGCAATTTCTCTGAAGAAGATACACACGTGGCCAATAAACACACAAAGAGACGTTTGACATAAATGTTAGCTGTTAGGGAAATGAAATCAAAACCTTAATGAGTATCACTTCATACTACTGAATCAAAAAGGTAAATCATAAGTAAGTGTGCATGTAGACAAATTGAAACCCTCCTAGGCTGCTAGGCAAGTAAAGTGATGCAGCTCCTCTGAAGATGGTCTGGCACTTCTTCAGGTGATAAAGTTCAGAGCTGAAACATGCCCAGCACTCCCTCTCCTGGGGATGTACTCAAAAAAATGAAGACACGTCCCTGCAGCGTGTGTACTTGAGTGAGTGTAGCCGTGTCATTCTCCGTCATTCTCAGCTGAGATGACCATCAGCTATGCTGTGTACATGAAGTGGGCTGCTGTTCAGCAATAAAAAAGAGAAAGGACTGCACATGCTTATGACGTGGGTGAACTTTGTGACATTTTGCTAGGTGAAAGAAGCTAGTCACCAAAAACCCACCAGTGGTCTGATTCCAGTCACTGGAAGTGTCCACAACAAGGACCAAACAGATTAGTTGTGGCTGAGGGCTGCAGTGGAAGACGGAAGGTGGTGAAGAGTGTGAAACTTCTCTCTGAGATGATGAAAATGTTTGAAAATTAACTGGGGTGATGGCTGTACACATCTGTGAATATACTTTTGTTTATGAGGAAATTGTATGGTATGTGAATTATATCTCAGTAAAGCTGTTGAAAGTAGGAAGAGGGGCTGGCGTGGTGATGCAGCAGGTGAAGTCTCGGCCTCCAGTGCCAGCATTCCATATGGGCACAGGTTCGTGTCCCAGTTGCTCCACTTCCCATCCAGCTCCCTGCTGGTATACCTGGGAAAGCAGTGGAAGATGGCTCAGGTCCTAGGGCCCCTGCATCCACGAAGGAGACCCGTAGGGAGCTCCTGGCTCTTGGCTTTGGCCTGGCCCAGCCCAGACTGTTGCAGCCATTTAGAGAGTGAACCAGTGGATGAACACTCTCTTTCCTTTTCTCTCTCTGTAATTGCTTTCAAGTAAATAATTTAAATCTTAAAAAAAAAAAAAAAGATAGGAAGAATAGTAAAGTGACAACAGTACCACCATATATGGAAAAAACAAGATGCATAGTAATGTGTAAAAATATTCCCATTTTGTGAGGCGAACAGCACCAAAAGCCCTCTGTGTGAGTGACTTTATAAGTGTAGAAACATGTTACACACCAAATGTAAACATTTGCTATCCGGTTAGGCTAAGGTAGAGAGAGGGGCAGAAAGAAGGGAAAAGATAAAGGAGAAGGGGTTGATTTAGAAACCCAACATGTTGGTACCCCTGGGGGACAGGTTCCAGGAGCCCTGTGGATACCAAGGTCCAGTGGTGTCCTGTCCCTTTGGTGAAGCAGCACTAGTTAAATATAACATGTGCACATCCCCTTGTGTTTTAAATCACCTGTGGGTTACTTTTAGTACCTAATGCAATGTAAGTGCTATGTAAATAGTTTTTACCCTGTGTTGTGTAGGCACAGTGACAAGAAAAAAGGTCTGGACAGACACAGATATCACAGGCCTACCTGCATAGCACACAAATGAGAAGTGAGGTGACTAGTGCTCGCACTGAGTGCTGGAGAGAGTCTGAGGGTTGGAGATGGCGAGAGACCACACCTTGCTTTACTTGTGAGTTCAGCATATTCTTAGTGTGAGGCGAATTCCTGTTTTGCTTTTTGGCACTTCAGTATTTTTTTTTTTTTTTCTTTGAGTAGTGTCAGTCTGCTGGTTGAATCTGTGGATGTAGGCCTGCAGATATGGAGGGCTGACCACTTAACAAGACTGTAAGTCAAATATAAAAATTGTTTTTTATGAATCGAAATATATTAAATAAGTTAGGCAGTTTCAAAAAGCAAGGCATGTATGGGAATGTCTATTTCAGTTTCAAGGTCACTCCCAGCTGGGAACAACATAAGTGTCTCAACCAACAATGGATAAGTCATTGGTGGTATGGCCATGCAATAGACCACTTTATGTAGCGGTGAGGAACAGAGCTACAGCTGTACTCAGCAAACATGGATGATTATCATGGGCAAGATGTCGGAACAAAAGAAACCAGACACAGAAGGTACATCATGTATGAGTCCATCTACGTGAGTTTAGGTCAAACTCATCTGTGATAGAAGCAAGGATGGTGTGTGGGGCTGGAGCTAGTAGGGCAAGAGGAACAAAAGGGGCCTTGTTGGGTGCTGGAAATGTTCTGTGTAGCAAAAGTCCATTGAACATTACATCTTCGATGTAGGCACATTCTAGTTTGTATATATATGTGTATTTCAGGAAGAAAGTAAAGTAAATCAAACCAGGAAAAATGAATAAACAAGCAAAAATTTTCTTGTACTCACAAAATGTATACTTCTGAGGAAACTTTTCAGACAGTTTCTGTCTACTATTGTTTTTTTTTTTTCCCTAAGATTTATTTATTTATTTGAAAGAGTTAAACAGAGAGAGGAGGAGATGCAGAGAGAGAGAGAGAGAGAGAGAGAGGTCTCCCAGATGGCTGCAACGGCTGGAGCTGCGCTGATCTGAAGCCAGGAGCCTCCTTGGGGTCTCCCATGAATGCAGGGGCCCAAAGACCTGAGCCATCTTCTGCTTTCCCAGGCCTTAGCAGAGAGCTGGATCGGAAGTAAAGCAACCAGGACTCGAATCGGCGCCCGTATAGGATGCCGGCACTGCAGGAGGTGGCGTTACTGATTATGTCCCCACTATCATTTTTTAATAGTTGCATTGTGTCATGTTTTGTGAATTGTAATCAAAGAAGTCTCTTGGGGATATTTAGGTTGTTCCCAACTTTTCTATTATAAACAATAACAGAAAGCTTTTTTTATACAGGTGTTCCTATACTTTTCTTATGGTTTCTTTTTGATGAATTCCTGTGTGTGTTAGCTTTGCTCTAACTGAAATACCTGAGAGGACCTACTTAGGAAGGATGGTGACAGTTTTGGAGGTTCACAGTTCAGGATCAGCTGGCACCCTGGGTCTGGTGTCTGATGAGGACAATGGGTGGCAGAATGAGGGTCACTTGGTGAGCCAGGAAGCAGAGAGAGAGAGCTAGGCTGAACTCAGCGTAACTAACCAACCATCTCCCCAAGGGCACACCCCCCAGTGAGCTAAAGACCTCTACCTGGCCCACCTTCTAGACATAATGGTCGTATCAAGTCTCTACCTGTCATCCATCAACCATTAACATTGGTTAGCAATAATCCATTGGCCAGTAACAATAGGGCTTTGGGGTTTAGACCCCTGATTGAATTAGGTAGTCAAATTCTGTTCAAACTGTGACAAAGAGGAATTAGGTATTTGGAGGTTAAGTACATTTTCATACTTGCCATGCTGTATGTGTGTTTTTCTATACCCTTAAGAACTTCATTTGCTTTAAAAACTTGTATACGGATATGCTGTGTAACAAATATTTTCTAATAGTTTTTTTTTTTTTTAATTGTTTAAAAGGCAGAAGAATATGATGGGGGAGAGACAGAAAGAGATCTTCCATCTTCTGGTTCACTCTCCAAAATGAGTGGTCCAAGCTGAAGTCAGAAGTCTGGAGCTCCATCTGGGTCTCCCAGTTGGGTGACAGATGCCCAGGTGCCTAGGCGGTCATTGCTGCCTTCCCAGGTGTGTTAGCAGGACCGAAACAGAACAGCTGGGGCTGGAACCAGAACTCCAATATGTGATGTCAGCAGAGGGTGGCTTACATACTTCCCGACCACTTTCTAATTGTTTTAATTTGCTTTTTTTTTTGACAGGCAGAGTTAGAGAGAGACAGAGAGAAAGCTTCTGTTGGTTCACGCCCCCAAATGGCTGCCACGGCCGGCGCACCTTGCTGATCCAAAGCCAGGAGCCAGGTGCTTCCTCCTGGTCTCCCATGCGGGTGCAGGACCCAAGCACTTGGGCCATCCTCCACTGCCTTCCCGGGCCACAGCAGAGAGCTGGCCTGGAAGAGGAGCAACTGGGACAGAATCCGGCGCCCTGACCAGGACTAGAACCCGGGGTGCCGGCGCCGTAGGTGAAGGATTAGCCTAGCGAGCTGTGGCGCCAGCCATAATTTGCATTTTTAAACATGTTTAATGAAAATTGATACTTTTAACATATACGACATTTGTGCAGCTTTTTCCTGGTTTCTTCTTCTTACCCTTTACTCTTTTCTTTTTGCACAGTCTTTTAATGAAGTAGATATACAAAAAAGTACGTAAAGAATAATTTCAGGGCTAGGTAATACACCTAGGAGGGCAGCAGAAGATGTCCCAAGTGTTGTGCCCCAAATATTTGGGCCCCTGCTACCCACATGGGAAACCTGGATGGAGTTCCAGGCCTAGCCCTAAACTACTGAGGCTATTTGGGGAATGAACCAGCAGATGGAGGATATCTCTCTCTATCTCCCCCTCTCTTTCTCTTTTTTCTGCCTTTCAAATAAGTAAATAAATCTTTTTGAAAAGAATAATACGGTTAACTCAAGAAATGAAACAGCCAATGGAGCACCCTGCTAGTACACATGAATGGGTAAGAACTTGTTATTTAAAACATACACTCTTTGTCACTTGTTTGATGTACTTTTCCCTGTTTTTTCTTTTGTATTTTGAATCCTAAGATGGCTTCAGTTGTAAGATATTATTTTATGTACATCTAAAAATAATAATTTGTCAATTTTAAGAAGTATCCTGATTTCAGGTATTGTGCAAGGTTAAAACATGAGCGCCTTAGAATTGTTAAAATATGTAATATTGTATTTATTTATTTCTAGTCAGATTGGACCTCTTTGTTTCTGTTTCCAGTGTTAGTCCTGGAAAGACTTTCCTATGTCAGGATACTTGGCAAAAATTCTCCTGTGTTTACATATGGTATTTTTATGGCTTACATGTTTTTAATCTTTAATTCATATTACTTTAAGATCTAATTTTTGTCTTATTCAAATGATTAACCAATTGGCATGAAGTTAAATGACATTAATAGTTTTTGAGCAAGGAGTGAGTGATAGGCTCACATGTGATTGCTAGAGAAACATTAATATGGTTTGGATTTTGGTCGGGTCTAGTCTACAAATTATCAGTTGTGTTTTTTAATGAGTGTATGTTTTTAAATTCTGACTTTGCGTTTTAATCTTTTGTTTTTTAATTTCCAGTCTTTTTTGTTTTTTTGAAAGGCAGAATCAGAGAGAGGAGGAGAGACATAGAGACTTTCCATTTACTGGTTCACCTCCTAAATGGCCACAGGGCTGGAGCTGGGCCTGGCCAGAGCCAGGAGCTTCTTCCAGGTCTCCCACGTGGGTGCAGGGGCCCAAGCACTTGAGCCCCCTTCTGCTGCCTTCTCAGGCACACTTGCAAGGAGCTGGATAGGAAGAGGAGCAGCTGGGACACGAATTGGCACCCATGTGGGATGTCGGCTTTACCTGCTATGCCACAGCGCTGCCCCTGCCTTAATCTTTTAATAAGCATCTGAGTATTCTTGGAATCAATGAAATAATTTCTAATTTAAAAAGATTTTTTAGACTTTTTTTTTTTTTGTAAAATGCACCTTTAGTATTACCTTCTCACCGGAGTATTGTAAGGATTAACTGAGAAAGTATAAGTAGAGCTTTTGTGGAGCGAGTTCTTCATTGCTTCTCTTTGAAGATTTTGGAGATTAACTGTGGTCACGCCTGGGTTCTCATATGTTCAAGATTACTCTAGATCCCCAGGGTTCTTGGAGTGAAGTGTTTATTGGATCTCTCCCTATTCTGATAGAGATCCCCAGATTTTGACTAGAACTTTTCTGGCCTTCTGGAATTAACCTATGTGACAAATCTGTGTGCTTTCTGTGTCTGTTCTTAAGCAGAACTCTTGTGTATATGCTGAAATCTTTGTTATTAGTTTTTAAAAATGTTTTGAATGGTAGAGTGACCTCCCATCTGCTAGTTCATTTCCCAAATACTTAATAACAGCCAGGACTGGGCCAGGCTGAGGCCAGGAGCTTGGAACCCATTCTGGGTCTTCCATGTGGGTGGCAGGGTATCTAGTACTTGAGTTGTCATCTGCTGCCTCCCAGGGTGTATTAGTAGGGAGCTGGAATGGGGCACAGAAGTGGGGCTTGCACTCAGACACTCCACTCTGAGGCGTGGGCACTCCATGCAGGCGCTTCTAACCACTGCACCAAACACCTGCCCTGTGCTGAAATCTTTGTAGACAGTTGAGGGATGTGTAGGTGGGTGATTAGCATGTGTTTTCATTTTGATTGACATAGCTTTTATTTTATAAGTTGTCATTAGGGTAGTGTGTGCTACTTTTCTTTATGTTTTGATTTGCTGATATATTTTTATAGGTTTATATTGTTTACAAACTAGGGAGATAGGAGTAAATCTAAGGAGAAACATTTTGAGAATATCTTACAGTTAAGAAATTCTGCCTTTGACCTCTTCTTTCAGCCAGTGCCAGTTTTGTGTGTTGTATGAGTATAGTACTTGAGATTGTTATCATTCCTGGTGACAGGCAGCATCTGAAATGTGAAACCACAGTATGCAGTCCTGTGGCAGATTGAAGAGCTTTAGCAAATGTTCTCTGGAGAGGATGCCTCATGAGGACAGGGGTGGCTTTTGAGGAACGTGACTCATTTGGGTGGAAAGAACACACTAAGTATCAGGGAACAGCATGACTGAAGATAAGGAAATAGGAGTACATTTTTTTCTGCACACTTTGGATTGAAGAGTTTATGGGATGGAGTGGGATGGAGTGGACAATGCAGTTATACTTGATAAGGTGTAGGGCTAGATTTATTTCACCCTTGGAAGAATCAGAAGTTAAAATTGAATTGATAGTACATACTTCTGGCTTCTTGCTTTGTTTCCTTTCTTTTTACAGCTGTAGATTGAAAGTTTGTGAATGAAGACTGGAGGAAAATCCAAACTGTTTGGAACCAGTCTTCTAAAAAAAGGCTTCTGGTTATGCATATATTAGATAATCTTCCCAACAGAAAGGCTTGAAACAAAATTGGTGGGAAGTAGCATTTATAAGTTGTATGTCTATTGCTTCTGTTCCTAATACTTAGCTAATTATGCAGAAGTTTTAGTTTTGACCTTTCCTTCTGCCATTAAGAGAGCCAGAAAGTACAGGGTAGGATTCATTTGCCAAAAGGTGGTGGTGTGTGTGTGTGTGTGTGTGTGTGTGTTGACAGGCAGAGTGGACAGTGAGAGAGAGACAGAGAGAAAGGTCTTCCTTTTGCCATTGGTTCACCCTCCAATGGCCGCCGCGGCCGGCGCGCTGTGGCTGGCGCACCGTGCTGATCCAAAGCCAGGAGCCAGGTGCTTCTCCTGGTCTCCCATGCAGGTGCAGGGCCCAAGAACCTGGGCCATCCTCCACTGCACTCCCCGGCCACAGCAGAGAGCTGGACAGGAAGAGGAGCAACTGGGACAGAATCTGGCGCCCCGACCGGGGCTAGAACCCGGTGTGCCGGTGCCGCAGGCGGAGGATTAGCCTTTTGAGCCGCGGCGCCGGCTGCCAAAAAGTTTTTAAAGATAGCACTTTGAGGCTTGAATTCAAGGGAGCCGGCAGAACTGGTGAAGCCTTTGGTACTGCGCTTGTGCATCTAAGCAGTGTGGGCTCTGTGAGTTAGCTGTAGCAATGAAGTCCGCAAGTCTAGTCCCCTCATCTGCGTCAGTCCCACGTGGCCCAAGAGATACGACTGTTGGAGTAGGCAGGGTCAGTGATACTACTTCTGTGTCTAAGCGGAATTAGCAATGATAGATGACAATAGATTTTCCTCCTTTTAGTCTTAGTACTGTTGATATAGTATGGTATGGTAACCCTGAACCCATGTCTTGTGTGATGCTGCAAATTATATGGTCTCTTTAGTAACAACGAAAATTTGTATTTATAACAGCTTAGTTAGGGTGACTAAATAGATTAGAAAGGCCGGTAAGACTTGAAACTCAGATAAGTGATGATTTATCTGACTCAGTATCCTAGACAGGTTGTCTATAATTCTGGTCTGCCCACAGTTCCTTTGAAGGAAATTTACTTCTTTTCCACAGTATGTTGCAGAACAGACCTCAACAGCTATGTTTTATAGCATACAAAGTTGTATTGCAATGGGTTAGTCCAGCAAGGGGCATTTGACCTAATGCATAAGTCACCTGACCTAGGACTGTGTGGTCATAGGAAACTTGGGGTTAATTTGCCACTGAGCCATGGGGGCTAGTTCTGGAAAGATGCATTGGTGTAGGGTCCTATAGACTGAAGTTTAGGTGTCAGCAGAAGCTGTGAGTTACAGAAATGATACAGGAAGTACGGAGGCCATCTGGTGAGTATAAAAGAAGAGGGCACATGTGCCTAGAAAAGCACAACGTTCCTTCCTTCCTTTTTTTTTTTTTTTTTTTAGATTTACTTACTTATTTGAAAGTCAGAGTTACAGAGAGACAGAGCAAAAGAGATCTTCCATCCATTGGTTCACTCCCCAAGATGGCCACAGTGGCGAGAGACTGAGCCAGGCCGAAGCCAGGAGCCAAGAGCTTCTTTAGGTCTCCCACATGGGGTGCAGGGCCCAAGCACTTGGGCCATCCTCCACAGAAGCACAGATTTCTAAGGAGAAACTATGTGGTCTTAGAGGAAGAGAAGAGGGCTACAGAATGGGGAGACTGGAGACTGGTT